TGACAACCTCCATAGTCACCAGCCATGTCGACCATGTCCGAGTCACGCGTAACCTAAATTCATGAATCTTACTAATACTCGTATTATAAATGTGAAAGTTTAGATGGCTGGATGTTTGTTAGAGTTTGTAGCCTAAACGGCTGAACGGATTTCGATGAAATTTGTCATGGATGTAGAGGATAGTCTGGAAGAACACATAGGGTATTCACTTTTGTTTTTTTCAATACCACGCGGATGGAATCGCGGGTGAAAGCTAGTTGTAAATATTGATAAAAATTTCTGTAGTGCTGTCGCAATTTAATAATAAATACTGCTTCTGTCTATTTATGAAAATCTAGTTTAAGATCTAACTTACCTCATTAAGATATCTTTCCGGATAAGATTGATCTGGTTGTCAATGGTGGTGCGCGAAGGCACGGTGGTTGCGCCGACCTTCATGTCCTCGGCATGCAGCGCCAGCCCTGCGTACTGTAGTCCGTCCACCAACGCTTTTACACGACCGCCTACAATACATTGTACAAATAAAAAACACAGAAGAATTAATAACCTCCTTCTATTAGGAAGTCAAAAAAAATTATTGCGAACTTCGATCCTGTCGTAGAGAATTTTATGGTCATCGATTCAAAAATTTTACATATAAAAATACTTTTACAGGAACGGGACATCTTTTGATAATAGGGCCATCCCTGGAAACCTTCGTATGTAGTAGCAACGGATAATTGGTTCATATCAGATCACCCGCTATCAGCCACTCGAATTATTTGCCTTGTTTAAGTGCGATGTTATTGAATACTTTTGTCATTATTGTAATAAAATTATATTTACATTGTCAATATTATTTAAAAGTCATAAAAACTACTTCAGCTGGTTCTAGCTACTATTTTAAAACTTTGAAACATCAAATTGTATTATAGCTTATCTATAGAATCTTAGCTATCTATTCAAACCTTCCCCTGTTTAATTCAAAGACAATAGAAAAACTATTCTCACGTCTATGGTTTTACGTTTACTTTCCCTTTCACTTTTTCCATCCATTACTGGTTTATATTCTAAATTTCTTTCATAAAAATCGTCTACTCTACCTTCCTTTTTCTTCCATATGTAATGCGGCATATAGAAGCATATAGACTGTATGAAGAGGACGAATGGCACCCATTGGTAGTACGTGTGGTGCAGAGTCCTGTCCGTCTCCATCATGGGCCCTACACCCGGGTGCGGCAAGAAGCCGTGCTGCAGCAGGCTCTCGTTGTAATGTCGAACCTGATAACATCATAATCTCAGCAACATCTAAACATTGTGATGTAACAAATTCAACGATAGGTAACCAACCTTCATTAGGCCAGCGTGGTCGACTAAGGTCTAATGTTCCTACCACGATTGGGTTGTTTTAGCTGACTGACATGTTCAGTCCGCCCGTGAACATGGCGCATGCAACTGTGCCGAAATATCGGGAGCTAAAACAACCCAATTGTGGTAAGAAACCCGTATCTTACGAGCATTATATTTTTAAAAACCACGACAGTTTAAAGTTATATATGACTAAGGTCTATTCTTCCATAACTTCCCTCGACGTCGAGCTCAGTGATGATACCTTACCTAACGACACACGCATAATCTTACAGATAGACAATCAGCAAGTTAATCTCAAGATACTTGAAGACGTGAAATTTTAAGATAAGCGTATTTGATCTACCGATTCCTTTTATAGAAGTGAGTAAACCATTAAAGGATTCGGAGATTGGTAGAAGTGTTTCAAAACTTACGATAGTAAACGTAGCCATAAAGAAGCAGTAAGTCTGAATAACATGATCAGGTACGCCCTGATCTGAGATACACTTGATATGCTCCCCGAAGTACTCTCTCGCGCAGACGAGGATAACGAAAGCCAGGAGAAGGGTAACCGTCGCTTTGTAGTGCATCTTGAAGACTATATTCTCTATGTTTGGTTTGGAGAAGTTAAACCGCATCCGCGGCGTCAACGTGGTGAGCGTCGCCGCCAACATCCTCGCTTTTTATTTTCTTTTGTTTAGAAATGTATGAGGAGGTGTCTGAAAAAGAATTTAATAGATTAACTACACTATAAGTACGGCCCTATAGATTTTTGATAATAAATCTATACTAAGGAAGATGAGTTGCTAGGTTCAGAATAAAGACTATTAAATGTTAGAAACCAGTTCGAATCCATCTGACCATGTCTTTAATAGATAACAAACGAATTAAATGTAAATATAACGAACTGGTAACAATGACTGAGTAGGTAACTGCAGTGGAACGGGTCGAATTACGGTATAAATAATGCACAAAGAAATAAAATACTTTATCAAACTATCATAGATCTTAAAAACAACGCCATCTAGTGATTTACACGATAAACGATTATCTGAAAAACGAACTCCTAAAACACCATAACATGACCTACTTTCTTTATCAAAACATGATGAAAAATTATTTAAAAGTATACATTGTCGAAAACTTTTTATATATCGATTTACTTCAGTTATTTCAAAAATCGTTCTAAAGTATTCCAAAACGCATAACTCCATATTTCACAAAAGAAAAGGAAACCATATAAAGTCGGACAGATATTTTCAGTCATGAAAAATGAATTCAGATTAATAAGACCACATGAAATAGTACAGATCCAAGAAAAGAAATCAATGCAGTAAATTCTCCAAAAGGAAAGTATTTGCACTAAATTAATCCATGCATTATCACCTGTTTCACTGTTATCAAATTCTGTTATAATTAAAAAATTAAACAAAACACACGCGCGCTGCCGCTGCCTCTACAACTGAATATGTCGGCTATCAGT